GTGAGGGTCAGGTTTTTTTTGGGGTGTAGGAAAAGAGGGGAATTTCTTCCCGGGTTAAAAATAGGTCTTAGACAAAGGGTTGTTTTAATGTCCCATGGGGTTTTTTAAAAATATTTAAAAGATGGGGGTTTTAAAAAAAGTAAATGTGGGTGTTCGGGAGAGGGGTGGGATTAAAAAATGGGGGGAAACAAAATTTTAAAAAGGGGGTTTACACAGTTACTTTTTTTCTGATGATTTCTGTGCCCTTTTTGGGGGATTCTAAAGAAAAATTGCAAAGGGTTTTTGGATGAGTTTTAGAAGTGTGTAAAAAGGTTTGAAAGTTGAAAGTAACATAGAAAAGAGTAAAGGGGATGAGGGTATCCAAAAAGATTTTTGATAAAAAAAAAATTGGATATCAAATTGGGGAAAGGGGGGAGATGGAGAAGTGAATGTTTTTTGACTTGGGGGGTTGAGGGGCGGGGAAAGGATTTATGAAAAGGGTGAGGTTAATCATAGAATTGATGGGGGAAAAAAGGTGAGTGTGCGTTGAGGTATATGTGGAGTTTAAAAAAAAAGTTTAAATTTTGGAGGCAAAGAAGGGAATGTATTTAAAGTATAGTAGTACCAAAACTCTTTATGGATGTGGAAGGGTTGGGTTGGGAAATGCACAGCGAGGAGACGGTTGGAGGCAAAGGGGGATGTCCCGTCTAAGGGGAAAGTGTGGGTTTTTAAATATTATGCAGAAAAAATTTGGGAAAATGTGGAAAATTGGAAAGGTGTGGAAATTAATAAAAAAATTTGTCAGAGGGCAGAAACCCGAAGAGGGGTTGTTAAGGGTTTGGGTTTTGGGCATTTAAGAGAAAGGGTCAAAAAAAGAATGACATGGAAAACTTTTAAATCTATAGGGGAAGGGGAAAAAGGGGGGAGGGGTTGTCCTTTAAAAAAGGGGGGGAAAGAGGGGGTAAAGGGGGGGGTTTTTTTTTTTTGGGGGGAGGGGCTTTGGGCTTCCAGCAAAACGTTCTTTAGCGTGTTAGATAGGAGTTGGAAAAGGAGAGAATGATACTTGGGACCTGCGATCTTTTTGGAGTGTGAGCAGGGTAATATTTATTTAAGGGGTTCAGGGGAAACCCGGGGTTTTTTTCTTATAGTGGGGTTTTAGGGCCTGGAAAAAGGGAAGTACAAAGCCCGACTTTAAAGGAGGGGTTTGGGATATTGGCAGTTTGGGGGGGGTATGTTGTGTTTCTTTATCCCTTTTTGTTCTAAAATGTTTTTATTCTGAGAACCCCCTGCCCCAAAAAAGTGTATAATGTTTTGAAATGTGGTGAAGTGTTGAATGATGATGAAAATATTTTTTTTTGGGGGTTTTCTTTCTTTTTTTTGGGGCCCTGCCCCCGGGGGGAGACGACCAACTTGTTAAAAAAAAAAAAAAAAAAAAAAAAAAAAAAAAATATATTTTATATATATATATTTATATATATATATTTATATATATATATATATATATATTTTATATATATATATATTTTATATATATATATATATATATTATATTATATTTATATAAATAAAGTTTTGAAAACAAAGGGGAAACCTTTGTTTTGAAAATTTGGATAGAAAGGGGTTTAGTTTTGGGGAATTTATATTTTTAAAAAAAAGAGGATAAATAAAATATTCACGATTTGTTTTAGGGCGAAAAAAGACAAAGTTTTTTGGATTATTTTATTGGGGAGAAAAAAAAGGGTGTTGAGTAGATTTTAGGGTGTCCCTGTTTATAGAGGGGCCCAGTTATATTTAGGCATTTTAGTTGTAGTACACTGAGGGGGTAAAGGTAGATGGGATACAAGGAGCCAAAAAGAAGGGATCAGGGGGAAAAAAGGGGTTTAAGGTTATAAAAAAAAGAGGAGGCAAATTAGGGGAGTTAAAAAGCCCATTGGAGGATGATGGGGTAATGGAGCATAGGAAAAGGGGTCAAGAGGTATGGGGTAGGTTTTTAAAAAAGTAGTGTTAGGTGTTCAGCAGAAGTTTTTGGTTACAGGAAAGTGGGTGCGGGGGAAAAGGGAGCGATTGGTGGGAAAGATGATGTAAAAAGAGTAGTAAGGGAAAAAAATTAGCATATGAGAAGTTTTTTTCAAAGTAAAAAAGGGATGCAAAGGGGGGAAAAAAATTGGAGAAAAAGAGAGGGGAAAGGTTTTAAAAGAGTGGTGAAGCAATGTAAAAAGAGAGCAAAAGAGTAGTGGGGGAGATGTTATCAACAAAATTTTTTTGGAAAAAAAAAAGAAAAAGGGTTTTTGGGAAATTGAGATTAACAATTAAGAAAACCCAGAGAAAAATGGGTTTGTCAGTTAAAAATAGGAGAGGAGAGGGTTTTTAAATGGGGGGAGTTGAGGGGATTGGGGGAAAATGGAGGGGGAAATTTTTGGGAAAATTTTTAAAGTTGTGAAGTAGGGAAGCTGTGTTTTGTGTTTTAGGGCAAAAGGGGGTTTAAAATTTTGTAGGAAATAGGAAAAGCCCGGGTTTTGGGTGTTGGGGGGAAATTCCCTGAGGCAGTAGGTAAAAAAGAAAGGGGGGTAAAGGGAAAACCGGGGTTGTTGGGGTTAAAAATTGAAAAAGTTTTAAAAACAGGGGGGGGATATAGTTTTGGAGTGGTTGGTGCAAATTTTTTAAAAAAATGTATGGAAGGGGTAAAAGGGAAAAAAGGGTTTGGGAGAGGGCATGCTTGTTCCTTTGTATAAAGGCAAAGGGGATAAAAGAGAGTGCAAAAATTATGGGGGATTTAAATCTGTTTAGTGTACCTGGTAAAATTATGGGAGGTTATAAATTTAAGAATTAAGGTAAAACCGGGAAAAATAGGTAGCGATGAAAAAAGGGGGCTTTAGGAAAGGTAGGGGGGTGTTGGGCCAGGTGTTTTCAGTGAAACATATAAGGATCGTATTTGATTAAAGGGGTAGGTTACTGAAAGCAGTGGAAAAAGTTTTTACGAGGTTTGTGAGGCTCAGTTGAGTATGTAGGAAAGAGGGAAAAAATTTTTTCCCCGTAAAAATTGGGGGGGGGGCCCTTTGACAAGGTTTTTGATGTCACCCTGGTTTTTTAAAAAAAAAATATTTTAGATGGGGGTTTTTAAGAGGGAAATAAATGTGGGGTTCTTGGCAAGAGGGTGGAGTTAAAAGATAAAGAAAACACAACAAAGTGGGAGTTTTCACGCTGCTCTTTGCTGATGACACTGTGCCTTTTGGGGGATTCTGAAGAGAAGCTGCAGGAATTGGTGGATGAAATTTTGGGAGGGTGTGCAAAAAAAGAAAATTAAAGGGAAAAACAGGAAAGAGTAAGGTTATGGGATAACAAAAAGATTAGGTGATGAAAAAATTGAATATCAGATTGGGCGGAGAGAGTTTGGAGGGGTGAAAGTATTCAGATTTTTTGGGGAAATGGACTTTGGGCAGCGGATGGGTCTAGAAAAAATGTGGTGAATAAAAGAAATTTATGAGGGAAAAAAAAAGTGGGGTTTTGGCTAATTAGGGTCTGTTTGGGGACAAAGAACTTTGTCCTTGGAGGCAAAGAGGGGGAAAGTATGAGAGATAGTTTTACCAACGCTCTTTTTATGGGTGGAAACGTGGTGATGAAAGTTGCCCGCGAGGGAAGGGGGTGGAGGAGTGGAGATGTCATGTCTGAGGGCAATGTGTGGTGTGAATTTTTAAAGCAGAGAAATTTTGTTTGGTTTTGGGAAATTGGGGGGGAGGGTGGGGGGATTTTCCAAAAATGTTTGTCCGGGGGGTGAGGGGGGGTTGTTGAGGTGGTTGGGGCAGTAGAAAAGAATGGAGCGAAAAAAGAATGACCTTTTAAGGTGTATCAGTTGTAGTGGAAGGAAGGCGGGGTAGGGGTTTGGTCCCTTTGGGAAAGGGGTTGGAGGGGGGGGGGGGGGGGGGAAAAGGGTGTTTTGTGTGCGAGGGGCTTGGATTCCAGGGAGGCATGGTGAGGTGTTTGATAGGAGTGTGGAGACAAATGGTTTTTTTTTAACTTTACGTGCTGTTGGAGTGTGAGCAAGTAACATTTATGAAAAGGGGTTTAAAAAAAAGGGAAAAGGCAGGCCGGACTTGAGTCCTGGAGGGTGGGAAATACCAAATGCCTGCATCCCAAAAGGGGGGGTGTTAATTTTTGCATTTTAAAAAATGGTTTTGTAAAGCACCCTTTTGGGAAGACAGTGATGGAGTGAAGGGTGGTGAAGTTTTTCTTTTTCGGGCCCCCCCTGCCTTGGTGGGAAAACGGCCCGGGGTGATAATAAAAATAAATAAAATTATAAAATTTTATAAAGTTTTGAATCAAATTTTGGGGTAATTTGGGGGTAGGGGATTTCAATGCTAAAGTGGGTAAAAAAAGTTATGGGGAAAGGAAAATATAGGTTTAAATTTTTTTTTGGGGCCAGGGGTAAATGTAAATGGGGAGCCTTTAATTGGAAAATATGTGTAGGAAAGGGAAATTTTGGGGGTAAGTAAAAATATTTTATAAAAAAAAGGAAAAAATAAATAAAACAAGGGTTTTATGTAGCACGTAATGAAGTAGTTTATTAGATTATGTTTTTGGGGGATAAAAAGGGTTTATGGGGAGGACAGGATGTACATGTTTATTGAGGGGCAACGGGTTTTATCGGATCCTTATTTAGTTGTAGCTACAGTTAGATTAAAAAGGTAGATGGGAAAAGGGAAGGGGGCAACAACAAGTGAGGGAGGTGAAAGTGTTTTAAACTAAGGGAGGAGGAAGTTGGGTTTAGATATTGGCTATTGGGAGAAAAAGTGGGCAGGCAAGTTTAGTAGGGGGGGGGGGGGGGTTTTAAGAGGGTTGGAATAGTTTTTAAAAAAGCAGTATTGAATTTTGGGGGGAAGTTTTTTGGTTATAGGGGGTTTGGGGGAGGAGGGGAAAGGGGTGATTTGGGGGAATGAAAGTAAAGGGTTTTGATTTAAAAAAGAAAAAGGTTGCTTTGAAAAGGTTTTTTCCCAAGAAAAAATGTTATAAAAAGGCAGGGGTATATGGAGAGTAAAAGAAAGGTAAAAGAGAAATGGTGAGAGGTGCAAAAGGAGAGAGATGATAGGGGTGGGGGGAGGCCTGCCAAAAATTTTAATGAAAAAAAAGAACAAATTTTTGGAAATGGGTTAAACCAAATTAAAAAAGCCCAGGGAAAAAAATGGATTGTCAGTTAAAACAGGTAGGGGATTTTTAGATTGGGGGGGATGGAGGTATTGGGGAGATGGCGAGAATTTTTGAGGAACTTTTAAATGTTAAGGAAGAAAAAAGAGGCAGTAATTTCATGCAGGTCAGGGAGGTATACCATCTTTTAGGAGTGAAGAAGAGCAGAATGTAAGTGTGGGGGAGGTACGTGAGGCATTACGTAAAATGAAAGGGGTGTAAAGCAGCTGGAACTGATGGGATCATGACAGAAATGTTAAAAGCAGGGGGGATATAGTGTTGGAGTGGTTGGTACTTTTGTTTAATAAATGTATGAAAGAGGGGAAGGTACCTAGGGATTGGCAGAGAGAGCATGTATAGTCCCTTTATATAAAGGGAAAAGGGGACAAAAGAGACTGTAAAAATTATAGAGGAATAAGCTTACTGAGTATACCAGGGAAAGTGTACGGTAGGGTTTATAATTGAAAGAATTAGAGGTAAGACAGAATGTAGGATTGCGGATGAGCAAGGAGGTTTCAGAGTGGGTAGGGGATGTGTAGATCAGGTGTTTACATTGAAGCATATATGTGAACAGTATTTAGATAAAGATAGGGAAGTTTTTATTGCATTTATGGATTTAGAAAAGGCATATGATAGTGGATAGAGGAGCAATGTGGCAGATGTTGCAAGTATATGGAATAGGTGGTAAGTTATTAAATGCTGTAAAGAGTTTTTATGAGGATAGTGAGGCTCAGGTTAGGGTGTGTAGAAGAGAGGGAGACTATTTCCCGGTAAAAGTAGGTCTTAGACAGGGATGTGTAATGTCACCATGGTTGTTTAACCCTTTGACTGTTTTCGACGTATAAATACGTCTTACGAGCCAATGTTTCTGACGTATATAAACTCAATAATTCTAGCGGCTTCAAATCAAGTGGGAGAAAGCTGGTAGGCCCACATGTGAGAGAATGGGTCTGTGTGGTCAGTGTGCACCACATAAAAAAAATCCTGCAGCACACATTGCGTAATGAGAGAAAAAAAACTCTGATCGTTTTTTTGGAATAAAACGCCGACTTTGAGGTGTATTTTCGTATAGTATTTATCGTTGTATTCGCGTTTTCATGGTCTTAGGTGATAAAATGGAAAACATATTACAGAAATACAGATGATTTTCATTACTTTTATGATGAAAACGACCTTGAAACTGAGCTCAAAGTAGCGGAAATGTTCGATTTTTACCAATGCTCAAGAGTAAATAAATCACACCACACGTCCAATACACGTCAACTGGGGAGTCTAATATTCTTTCACTAGTGCACTGATATTATTTATACCATTTTTACAATAATGCAGTCGTCTGCATAACAGTAAATTTTGTATTTTTTTGTATGAATAAAAAATCAAAATAGAAAGCAATAATAATATAAGAGGGGCCTAGAGATGTGACTAATGAACAGAGCATATGTTATTTTAGTGCCACGAATGTCTACCTTGTTTATTCTGGACCCTATTTTGAAATTGGCATCCTTTTTATTTTGTGTGAAATTGGCCAAATTGCCAATTTCTGACCACCATATTGGGTAGTCCAAATTAGTAAATGGGAGGTTTCTTGTACTCAGCTGATAGATAAAATGGAGTTCTATAGAAATAGCTATGAGTTTGGTCAACTGGAACAATGGAATTGGCTGAAAATAGGGCTCAAAGTCGGTGAAATCGCCGATACGCATATGTCGCCGAGACCGCTAACTTCGCGGGAGCATAATTCCACGAGTTTTCCACCAAATTTCGAACTTTTGGTGTCATTACCATCGGGAAAAGATTCTCTATCATTTCATAAGAAAAAATAATTTTTTTTTTTTTCAAAAATTGAGCGACATAGAATGACAGTTTCAGAGAGGGGCCTGAAACAGTCAAAGGGTTAATATATTTATAGATGGGGTTGTAAAGGAAGTAAATGCTAGGGTGTTTGGGAGAGGGGTGGGATTAAATTATGGGGAATCAAATTCAAAATGGGAATTGACACAGTTACTTTTTGCTGATGATACTGTGCTTATGGGAGATTCTAAAGAAAAATTGCAAAGGTTAGTGGATGAGTTTGGGAATGTGTGTAAAGGTAGAAAGTTGAAAGTGAACATAGAAAAGAGTAAGGTGATGAGGGTGTCAAATGATTTGGATAAAGAAAAATTGGATATCAAATTGGGGAGGAGGAGTATGGAAGAAGTGAATGTTTTCAGATACTTGGGAGTTGACGTGTCGGCGGATGGATTTATGAAGGATGAGGTTAATCATAGAATTGATGAGGGAAAAAAGGTGAGTGGTGCATTGAGGTATATGTGGAGTCAAAAAAACGTTATCTATGGAGGCAAAGAAGGGTATGTATGAAAGTATAGTAGTACCAACACTCTTATATGGGTGTGAAGCTTGGGTGGTAAATGCAGCAGCGAGGAGACGGTTGGAGGCAGTGGAGATGTCCTGTTTAAGGGCAATGTGTGGTGTAAATATTATGCAGAAAATTCGGAAGTGTGGAAATTAGGAGAAGGTGTGGAGTTAATAAAAGTATTAGTCAGAGGGCAGAGGAGGGGTTGTTGAGGTGGTTTGATCATTTAGAGAGAATGGATCAAAGTAGAATGACATGGAAAGCATATAAATCTATAGGGGAAGGAAGGCGGGGTAGGGGTCGTCCTCGAAAGGGTTGGAGAGAGGGGGTAAAGGAGGTTTTGTGGGTGATGGGCTTGGACTTCCAGCAAGCGTGCGTGAGCGTGTTAGATAGGAGTGAATGGAGACGAATGGTACTTGGGACCTGACGATCTGTTGGAGTGTGAGCAGGGTAATATTTAGTGAAGGGATTCAGGGAAACCGGTTATTTTCATATAGTCGGACTTGAGTCCTGGAAATGGGAAGTACAATGCCTGCACTTTAAAGGAGGGGTTTGGGATATTGGCAGTTTGGAGGGATATGTTGTGTATCTTTATATGTGTATGCTTCTAGACTGTTGTATTCTGAGCACCTCTGCAAAAACAGTGATAATGTGCGAGCGTGGTGAAAGTGTTGAATGATGATGAAAGTATTTTCTTTTTGGGGATTTTCTTTCTTTTTTGGGTCACCCTGCCTCGGTGGGAGACGGCCGACTTGTTGAAAAAAAAAAAAAAAAAATATATATATATTTATATATTCTCTGCCTATGAACCAAAGCCCATGTAGATTGACATGTTGGTTATACAGTAGTTACTGGTAGTTAGAAAATAGTGTTGAAATGTGATATCCCTCTAGAGGAATTATATGTGCACCTCAGACAAGACAGTGTTTCTTTTTCGGGTCACCCTACCTTGGTGGAAGAGGGCCAGCGTGTTAAAAAAAACAAACAGAATATTCCTTTGAATATATGTACAGGGCTATTAAATGCTGAGGTACTGAGACAGAACTGATGCTTGGCAAGTGATTGTCTGATCTGTATGTGGAAATGCACTTGAAAATCATCAGAGATATAATAAAGTTAATGTTCAAAGGAGAAACTGTTATGAGACTGTGGAACATGTATGCTTCATTTAAATGCTCTTAGAGATGAGCTGTCTCCCGTATTCACAGGGATTATGTTCCAAGACCTACCGTGGGTACCCGAAACAGTTAAAGTTAAATTGATAAATTACACACAGTAAGTGAAGAATTATCACTTTTTCACTGATGGGAATCACTTCATGGCTTCTCTGAAACCACGGAAACCGAACCCACAGATACAGGGGTTCTATTGTACTGTAAGATTTACTGATACAAGTGAATGGACATTGATCTTATTATGAGAAACTGTTTCTTTTATCTAATTTGTATTTTTTGTCAGGTCATTCCAATGGCAATTTGGAAGATGGTGAAGCTGCAGTCAACTGTGGAGCATCATTTATTACCCACCTGTTCAATGCCATGTTGCCAGTGAGTCACTTTTCTTTTTAGACATTTGGGAAGGATGGTAGGCAAAAATATAAAGAAAATTATCACTAAACAAGCCTTTATTATACATAACTTTTCACTCAGTCAGAGCTTTGTCACTTTAAAGAATTGCCATATATGAGAAGTACAGTGTCTGCACTCTGAAGGAGTGGAGATATGTTGCAGTTTTTGAACTGTAGTATCAACAAGCCTCTGGTAAGACAGTGATAGAGTGAGTGATGATGAAAGTGTTTCTTCTTTTTTAGGTCACCCAGCCTTGGTAGGAAATGGCCAGTGTTTTAAAAAAATAATGTATTTTGTCTTATTAGAGAGGAAGAGGGAGAGAAGAAGGATTAGATGGAAGAGTGACAAGGTGTGAGACAAGATAAATATAGTTTTTATGTACTATGTTTATTAGATTTTTCTACCCAGTGGTAGGATTGCCAGATGTGGACCAATATTGAGCATCTCTTGTTTCTGTTCTATAGGGTTAGAACTCTTCATTGCAACAGTCTCCCAAGCATTTCATTCTATAAAGAATAAAATGAGCAATTCTATGGCTGGAACAATTTACAACTAGCCCACAAATATGAAATGTAAACTAGATGAATACAGTGGACCCCCGCCTTAGGAACGCATCGCATTACGTTAAATCTGCCATACGAAGCATTTGAATGCAAAAATTTTGCCTCGCCTCACGATAAAAAACTCGCCTTACGTGATTCGTCCGTAACGCGTCCCACGTGTGGCCTCAGCTGCCCGTGGGTGCCAGTGTTTACAAGCCAGCCAGTGCAGTCGCATCCATGCATACATTCGGTACATTTCACCTCATCCCAGTGTTTTTTGTGCTTATAACGAAAATAAGTCACCATGGGCCCCAAGAAAGCTTCTAGTGCCAACCCTGTGGTAAAAAGGGTGAGAATTAGTATGGAAACTAAGAAAGATTTTGAAGGGTTAGGGGCTAACCCTGAGAAGCCTATGCCAGTTGTGGAATCCATTGGGCCTGCTTCAGAGATTAAGGAAATGTGTGCAAAGTGGGTTGAAGTGCAAACCTTTATGGATGAAAATCACCCTAACACGGCTATTGCAAGCCGTGCTGGTGACTTACAATGACAATGTTGTGGCCCATTTTAGGCAGATCTTAAAGGAACAGGAGGTACAGAGCTCTATGAACAGATTTGTTGTGCGACAGAGGTCCAGTGACTCTCAAGCTGGTCCTAGTGGCATTAAAAGAAGGGAAGTAACCCTGGAAAAGGACTTGCTACCTCAAGTCCTAATGGAAGGGGATTTCCCTTCTAAACAATAACTTCCACACTCTCCCCTCCTCCCATCCCATCAATCATCACCAGATCTTCAGTAAAGGTAAGTGTCATGTATTCTATTCTTAGTAGAGTAGTAATTGTGCATGTCTTCTTCAGTTTGTGTGTATTAAAATTAATATTTCATGTGGTAAAAAAGTTTTTTTTCATACCTTGGGGTGTCTTGCATGGATTAATTTGATTTTCATTATTTATTATGGGGAAAATTAATTCGCCTTACGATAATTTCGGCTTAGGATGAGCTCTCAGGAATGGATTAATATCGTAAGGCGGGGGTCCACTGTATTCAGTCAGTCTTGGACGATTAAGAATCCAGGAAATACTAAGACATCATCTATTTTATAGTTAGAATTTATGAGTTGTTAACTTCTTCCCAAATGAAATGTCTTGTAAATGCTTGTCTTTATGTTGTATGTATGTCATCGACTAACGATGAGAAAAAATCGAATGAATACAAATTATTGTAAAATAAAAATTCGTGAGGTATACAATAATCGTACAAGTGCAGAACAGTAAACAATGCGGTATGAAAGTGCCCAGTGAGTCTGTTGTATTTGTTATTGTTTGTTGTTGAACTGCATGGTGGTAGGAGGTCCTCCTTACAATTTTTGCCTTGTAAACATTTATTCCTGATTTAATCCTGTTGCAATAAGTGCTGAAAGTGTACCATGCACCCTTGATGTCTGTGGCTACAAAAACAGAGAAAAAGTGTGACATTAGAAATAAAACTAGAAGTTTTAAAGAGGCTTGTTTATATCAACTAGCCTATGATAAAATTGGCTTCGTTATGTCATTTTGCTTAAAGTCACAGTTAACAAGACCCTATTGACGACTTGTGAAGGCTTACTCAGCCCTGTAACAACTTCAGACAGTATTACCAAGGCTGGCTCCTCCTCAGGAAAATTAATGAATAGAAAAAGAAATAATAATTCACAAAGATAAACGCTTTATTATTTAGTAATGCAAAGATAAAACATTGAAACATGAAGGTGTATCCTATTTGAAAGAAAAATTAAAAATTAAATGAAAAAATGACATTTGAATTCAACGCTATTATGTACAGTTATACTGGGGTGTCTGGTGGAGGTTGACACCGTCTTGTAGAAATTGTAGCCATTGCTGATGATGGGGGGGCGGGGGTCACAAGTGTTGGTGACAACCCAACGGCTAGTTCTTCAGAGTCTATAGCCTTGAATAGTCAGTCCAGATGACAGGAAAGCAGGTCCTTTACCACTACAAAGATGAGGGGTTGTTGTTTGCTGTCGCCTACAGTTAATCAGGTAGGTAGATCAAAAAGTGACGTCTCCGGACTTTTGCAAAAGTCCTTCTCCTTCAACACTTCTCGTTGGTTGGCATGTGACCCGATCTGTCTTTCCAAGTTGGAAAGAGAGACAGGTTACCCACTGCTTAAGAAATCACTCTCCATGATAAGTGTAAGATACTTAAAAAAGGTGGTGATTATCTTAAAAGTCTCATGTGGAGCTTAAAACTGAAAGGACTAAGTTTATTATTGGTCAAAAGTGAAGCTTTCAACCAATATCCACTAGAATAGGAGCAGGCTTTTACTTAGTTGTGCTGGGAGCTGTGAGTCGAGTGATTACTGTTTGGCCGGAGCCCCACACGTCACCTTTCGGGGTGGGGAGAAAGGAGGGGGGGATAGCGGGAGCTAGACTTACCCTACCTTAACAAGCAGCCGGCAATCAAACTATCGTTACCATATACTCGCTCGCTACTCCTATCTGTTGAACTTTTCCCTCACATACTGTATGTATATACAGTGGACCCCCGCATACCGATGGCATCACATAGCGATTAATCCGCATACCGCTTGCTTTAATCGCCAAAATTTTGCCTCACATACCACTTAAAAACCCGATCACCGATTTTCGTCCGAGACGCGTCCAATGTGCGGCCTGAGCCACGCTCACATGTTCCGCCGGTGGCATTGTTTACCAGCCAGCCTCCGCGGTAACATCCAAGCATACAATCGGAATATTTCGTATTATTACAGTGTTTTCGGTGCTTTTTCTGGAAAATAAGTGACCATGGGCCCCAAGAAAGCTTCTAGTGCCAACCCTACAGCAATAAGGGTGAGAATTACAATAGAGATGAAGAAAAAGATCATTGATAAGTATGAAAGTGGAGTGCGTGTCTCCGAGCTGGCCAGGTTGTATAATAAACCCCAATCAACCATCGCTACTATTGGTGGTACAGCTGCTGCTGCTGCTGCACTGTCAGCTGCTGCTGCTGCTGCACTGTCAGCTGCTGCTGCTGCTGTAGCATTGTCTGCTGCTGCTGTAACATCGTCTGTTGCTGCTGTAGCGTCGTCTGTTGCTGCTGTACCACCGTCAGCTGCTGCTGCTGCTGTAGCATCGTCTGCTGCTGCTGTAACATCGTCTGTTGCTGCTGTAGCATCGTCTGCTGCTGCTGTAACATCGTCTGTTGCTGCTGTAGCATCGTCTGTTGCTGCTGTACCACCGTCAGCTGCTGCTGCTGCTGTAGCATCGTCTGCTGCTGCTGTAACATCGTCTGTTGCTGCTGTAGCATCGTCTGCTGCTGCTGTAGCATCGTCTGTTGCTGCTGTACCACCGTCAGCTGCTGCTGCTGCTGTAGCACCGTTGTTGGTGTGGCTTATTGAGAATACCAAGAAACAATTAACCCAGAGGATTTGCCACCCAGGATAACCCAAAAAAGTCAGTGTCATCGAAGACTGTCTAACTTATTTCCATTGGGGTCCTTAATCTTGTCTCCCAGGATGCAACCCACACAAGTCGACTAACACCCAGGTGAACAGGGAAAAATGCCTGGAACTAGTGCTCATATTGGTGAATTTAAAGCCAGCAAAGGTTGGTTTGAGAGATTTAAGAATTGTAGTGGCATACACAGTGTGATTAAGGCCTGTTCTGGAAGAAAATGCCAAACAGGACCTACAGTACTCAGGAGGAAAAGGCACTCCCAGGACACAGTGTCTCATCAGTCATTGCTGCATCTTCAATAAAGGTAAGTGTCATTTATTCTTCATTTAGTAGACTAGTACATGCACAATATATACTGTGCATGTACTACTCTACTATTGTGCATGTATCCTTCTCTTTGTGTGTGGGAAAATGTATATTTCATGTGGTAAAAAATTTTTTTTTTCATACTTTTGGGTGTCTTGCACGGATTAATTTTATTTCCATTATTTCTTATGGGGAAAATTCATTCACATACCGATTATTTCGCATAACAATTACCCCTCTTGCACGGATTAAAATCGTTATGCGGGGGTCCACTGTATACAGTTTTGCTTGTCACTGTGATACCTTGTGCAGGTTACTCATCATTCTCCTGCATGTTTACCTTCACTGAGCCTAAACATTCAGACAGCCAAGGCAAATACATCAACCACAGGTGCGCCTTGACTTAACCCCTTGACTGTCGCAACCCCAAATCCTGAGGTGTCTCCTGATGTCGCAAAATTTAAAAAAAAAAAAAAAAAAAAAAAAAAAATATGAAATGATAAAGAATCTTTTCCCGATTGTAATGACACCAAAAGAATGAAATTTGATGGAAAACTGATGGAATTACACTTTCGCGAAGTTAGCGACCTTGGCGATATTTACGAATCGGTGATTTTGCCCACTTTGAGCCCTATTTTCGGCTAATTCCATTGTTCCAGTCGACCAAACTCATAGCTATTTC